AGCCACTGCTTAACAACTGTAATAACCTCAGCCACATTATAAAACTAAGGCTGCTTTATTATCATTTTAAAAGACACAAAGATAAGCGTACTAATTTTGCTAATTGAAGTTCCCTTTTTTAAATGTATCTGCGTTTCTGTTGTCCTTTGAGACCTTCAAATGTGGTCCGGTGTGAATGAGGAGCTTTCATTTTCTCCCAGCTGGAGCCTCAACAGAACAAAAGCTCATCTTTATTAATTTGTGGCCATAAGCTTGGGGAATTGGCTGCAGCAGGCAGAGTTTTAGTTGTAGAAGTTTTATAAATGCCACCTTTATGTGGCGCAAATAACTGGGTGGTGTGTGTGTGTGTGTGTGTGTGTGTGTGTGTGTGTGTGTGTGTGTGTGTGTGTGTGTGTGTGTGTGTGTGTGTGTGTGTGTGTGTGTGTGTGTGTGTGTGTGTGTGTGTGTGGCTAGTAGAAGAGGCATATGAAGTTAAAATCTTAAGTTCAAAAAGGTCTTTGACTCATATTTTAATATATTTGTAGTGGTCTCCAGTGGGAAGGCATGACTTGTAAGTGCAGGAAGTAGAAAACTGCCAGAACAGAGGGGAGCTTCGGACGACAGGATTTCCTGATGTTTGGACATCTCACCTCTGACTGGACAACAGCAACACGACTCTGACTCTTTTTGCTCTGCAACATTGATGTTTTATCTCCACAAATAACACAAGCCTGGAGGAGCTTCTGTCGTGTGGTGGAGTGGAGCCACTAATGCTAACGGTTAGCTTATACTAGTTGCGATGTTTTCTGATGTTTCCTTGACGCTAAACCAGTTTCCTCTTTCCCTGTCATGAGTCAAGATGGTTGAGTCCATGAATGTTTAGTGACAGTGTGCCGTTGATCTGTCTGGATTTTCAAATTCAAGTGATTTACCATTTATTTCCCATTTTGCTTTTATTATGATATTTTAAAAATGATCTTTTTAAATGTATTTTTAAAATTATATTTTATATTTAATTTATTTTTTGTTCTTGGGAAGCCCCTTGTGATTTTCATCTTGAGAGGCGCTGTATAAAAAGCGTTTCTTCTTCTTCTGTCATATGCTAATGCAGGAAATAGGTGGAGGACACTCTTCACGTTCAGCCTGCATGTTAAACACAGAGTGACTGATATTTTTAAAAAAAATAACAAGTACTTTGACACCGAGGGCTGTGGGTGCAAGTGGGATGGTGTGGTGGCATCAGCTGGCATAGGCCAGACAATGCCCGCACTGCCCACTCACCACAGCAATGGAATACACCTCATCAACACACACTAACCCCCAAATTCCACTACCTCCGCTCCGGTCCGCCCCCGCCTTCCGCAGCCGCTCGCTTCCGAACTCAATTTTTACTGGTACCCGCTCTACAACGGCTCCGCTCCGGTGCGGAGACCTGAGGTGGGCAAACAAGCATGCGCGGGATTTTCGAGATCTTGCGATACAGTCCGAGCAATAAACGCGGAAGTTAGATCCAAACACCCGTTGTGTGGGAGAAGCATCGAAATAAACTGTTTAATCTGCCTATCATTTGTGTTGAGACATCAGCAGTGTTTGGATCAACAAAGTGTGACTACTTTGATACTAGAAACTGTATTTATGGCTTACTTTTGTGCATTTAAACTTCAGCCGCCATTGATAGTTGTTAAAAGTTGTTAAACCTGTGCATATGAAACAAAAATGCCTTTTGTTTATCGATTTAATGTGAAAAACGGAAATTGTGCTTGCTCCTTTTTCTGTTGGGCCGTTGTGATTTCTGCCCATTTACTGCGGAGGTGCTCCGGCGTCTGGCGAAAATAGGATCAATTCTATTTTTGCCGGATGCCGGAACAGAGGGCGGCGCATGGCGCCGCACTGCCGGAGCACGGCCGCAGTAGTGGAAATGCTCTGATTGACTCCAACGGGACCGATTTTGCTCCGGCGTTCGTGTCGGAGCAGAGCGGAGGTAGTGGAATTTGGGGGTTACACTATATTGGAGCAGGCGGAGGGAGACTAGGGGTCTTAGCACACCTCTGTTGTCGCTTGGATTCTGGGGGCTGGAGGCTAGGAGGGAGATCTGGCTGTCTGGTTGGGGTCTGGGGTGGTGGGTTACTGTGCTCAGCGTTGGGTGGGGGATCCTGCTCATCAGCACCCCAGCAGAAAGGGTCAAACTCAGGGAACCGGTAATTGTTGTACCCCATGTGCAGCAGTACCGGGACCAGAGTGAAGAGGGTGTGTATGGGGGGCATGAGTGGGTGTCCGGCGTGCATTTTTGTAAGTCTTTGGTTGTATGTGCATGTGTGAGCATGAGGGAGGGAGTGTGTGACTGTGTTTGTGTATGACTGTATATGTCAGTTGGGGCCTTTGACTCCTTCCTTCTCCTAGGACTTCTTTTGATTATATAGATCTTCGTTTCCACTCCCCCTGCCACAACTGGTGTGGGGTGTGGTGCCTTGGTCTGCCTGAGTGTTCGTGGCTCCCGGGTCAGGGGGTTTCAGATCTTTGGCGCCTGCCTGGTCAATCCCGGTGGCTGCCTGGTGGGGTCTGGGTCCCTGGGCTCGGCTGGGTCCCCGGCGGTGGTGGTCGCCCCTGGGCCCCGGGTCGCTGGGTCCCGGGCTCGGCCGGCTAGGGGGTGGGAGGCTGCGGGCGGGCCTGTGGGCTTGCCGCTGATGTCTCCCGGGGCTCTGCCGGCTGCTGTTTGTGGCCCCCCGGGGCGATCCTCTGTGCCTTTCGAGGGGGGCGGGGGCCTTTCTGGTTGCAGTCTCCTTGGGGTTCCTGTGTTCTGGGGCAGCGCCTGGATCTCTGGGACTTGGAGCTCCCTCCGTCTCCTACACATCTTTGGGGGGCGGGTCTGTGGCCCCTCACACTCTCTATTGGACGCTCCTATAGAGAAACCTTACATATACAAGCGCGTGTACACACACAGGTGCTCACATGGTGCTCTCAAAAGTATGGGCTTGGCACGTTCAACACTTGTCCTTAAGGCTGTCGTTGCCACTAAATGCATGATTTATTATCGTGTGATTGTTCAGTTAAACAATGTTGATTTTATATTTCACCATCAGGTTGACGCAGTGATAGCTTGCTCCTGATGCATTGTTGTGTGTCCCATTTTTTTCTTCTATTCTTTCTCTTTCTGCAGGTCTAGAAGCAGACTCTTGTTCATTATTGTTTATTTTTGTGGAACCCCCCCCACCCCCCACCCCCACCCCCTCACCACCACCACCACCACCCCCCCCCCTTCTCCCCACCTTTTGTCTTTTCCTTTCTCTTTCACCTCTGACTCAGTGTCTGGTTGGAATTACAAAGCATTCAAAAACGACAACAATAAAGTTTTAAGTATCAGGTGTGACATTAAAAGCAAACGCTTTGATGCTCCACCTGAGAGTAAATCTGTAAGGCTTGTTACCAGCATTCAGACATCAATTCTGCTTGCTTCACAGCCAGACAGGACACGGGGAAAAAAAGAAAAGTAAAAAATGGTTTCTCAGTAAATTACCTCTTTGACATATTTTTAAAAAGCCTGATGAAATCCAAATTAAAAATTAGAAGAAGCTCAAAAAGTTTTTGGTAAATTAGCATCTCATTATAGAACTAATTTCACTCCGTTGAAAACTAAGAAGAACTCAAGACCAAATAATAACTTTTACTATCAAAACAATTGTTTGTTATGTAAAACGGTTGCTAAACTTTTCCATATGAGCTTTTTGTGGATAATTACAGCCACACAGCTTTAATTCTCATCTGAGGTCGGTGCTTACTTTAATCAAGTCGTACTTTTATGGCTTTGCTTTCCACTTATTTTGTTGCTACGTAAATAAGCCACCATAGATCTCCTCACAGTCATTCAGCAGCTTCCCCAACGTAGAAGCGTTAAAGGTTTAGCCTGTGTCAGAACATGTTTTTTTTTTTGGGAGAGGGTTTTAAAATTGTTTGTTAACAAGTGGCTACATAAACACTGTTATTTTATTGTAATTATTTATCCTAATTATTTGGTAAAATTAGATTATTGTGCACATACATTTAAAGTGTTTTAAATTATTCAGTAAAAGAAAATCAGGCTTTTTGCAAATTGGGTTTATTTATTAATACATTTTTATGTATCTTTTATTCATTCAAATGTTAAAAAATATTTTAAAACACCTGAATATGTATCAACACAAACAATTTTAATCAAAATGAACAAAGAACTGAAATATATTTTGTTTTCTGCCCCGTTTTACAAAACAAAACTAAAACACATAAACTAGGTTTAGGTGTTCAAAGGAAATGTTTAAAGGTGCATTAAGTAAGAATGACATCCTGTGGTCAAATCTAATTAGTGCAGCCCTTTTTAAAAATATTGACTTTTTCACTGTCCTTCCATGAGTTTAATGGCTTGCAAAAATTCAGTTAGCATTGTTAGCTCAACGTTAGCCTCTAGCCCTCTTTACCTGATATTAGAGTAAAACAAAAAGATGCCGTGGCTTCTTAGGGTTACTAGAAATAACTTCTTTGTCACTCCTATAACTGGCTTAGGATCTTTATGAAACACTGCCGCATTTTTCCAGCCAGTGTCACATTACAAATGCCGGTGGTGCAATGTTTTCCAGCACAGACTCGTCAGCCTTGTAGGTTCTCGGATCTTAAACAAAACTACGTCCCTCTTCAGCCTTTATGAAAGGAGAAATAGTGACGGCCCCTGCCGGCTGAGAAGGAAATCTGTTTTGATGTAACCTTCCATCATGATTCCAACAAAACAAGCGACATCAAACTGAGACATCAAACTGTTTTGTGATAATTTCACAGTAAAGTTTTTACTCCTTTCCACGAGACAAAAAGGTCGCAGAATGGCTGCTTAAAGTACTTTGTAGCCATTATCTGTTATACTGGACAGGTTGTTTTCCACCCGCTGCAACGTGTCTCGTTTTGGATGCATCGCAGATGCATTCGGTTGCATTGCTTGCCTTTTTAAGTCTATTTTTCAAGCTCTACATTTCTAGAATATGTTAAACTCTGCAGTTCAGATTGGGCCGGACCAAAGTCAAACACAACATCAGTGTAAAACCTCCAAAACGTTCCTAAACAAAATTCATGTGTAGCTTTTCATGACATGCGTCATTTTCTGTGAAACCTCCAGAGCTGAGGTAAACAGCACAGAAATACCTTTTGGGATACATGCTGCTGTCTTTGTCCGTGCTTGTCATCGTGTGAACTTCCAAAATCTCACGTGGTGTTGCAATTCTCCTGTGATTTTGTGACCTCGCAGGACCCACTGTGCGAAATGCTTTCACTCCAGCTTCGCGTCAGAAATGCTCCCGGTTGGAAAGGAGCTCACGGGTGAAACGCCTCTTTTACGTTACTTACGCATCTGGTGGACAGGAGGTGTTACGCAGTATTTGTTTAGGGTCGTTTACTGTTGAATGCATGCCCATAGTAATTTCAGTTCACTGTAGTAATAAAAATAACTCAAAAGTTATCTTTGAAGGTAATTAAATAAAAAATGATCTTATCTGGATGCTAATTTGTAAAACAACGGGGTACACGTCTTGCACTGCAGTATTTGGGGGTGTTAAAAGGAGTTAATTTCACTTAAAGAAGCTTTTCAACTTCCAGCATTTTACTTTTAGATGAAGCAGCTATTAAATCCCTTGGGTCTGTTCTTAAAAGGAGCTGTGATCTTTTCCAAAAGTTTAACTTAAAATTAGAAAACATAAAACTGATGCAGCAGGGAATGCCAACCCAAACCTCCTCTGTCCTCCTCCATCACTCAGACTTTATGCAAAACAGTGTCATTGGCGTTGTTCTTCTCTGAACAACAATCTTTGTTCTGAAGTATTGAAATGCTTTCTGAAGAACTTGTTTTGTGTCTAGTTTGATTCTAATACTTTTCTGAGACATTTACATAGAAATATTTCTAATTTGTGTTTCTGCAGGTTGAGGCTAGAAAAGAGAAGAAGATGAAGCATCACCCCTACCAGTGGGTGGCTGTCATCCTGGCTCTGGTGTTCCTGGTTTTGGCTGTCTGTGTTTTCAGTCTGAGATATATGCGGGGCCCCAGTCTGAGGAAGGTAAGGCTAAGTATCGCCCCGGTGCTTACAGTTATCAGCTTTGTTGCTACTATCTGAGGTAAATGTGGTCCTCGTGACAGATGAAAGACACCATGAGCTTCCGCATCTGCAAATCACACAGGTTGGATGAAAGAAAGAAATGCGTGAGGGAGGAAAATGGACGGTCAGACAAGAGACCAGAAGCAGTCTCTGGGGTCTGTATTGTACTGGAGTAGATTAAAAGATGTGTGGGCTACGGAAGAGACAGCTGTGTTTTCCTCAGCTCATGTTCTGGCTGTCAGATCTGTAATTTCAGAAAGTCTTGGCTCCGACCACAAGCCACTTTTTACCGCTGCAAATGTTGGACTGTTGCGTTTATCTGCTCTCCTCTCAGACTGTAAACATCTTTTCACAATGAAGGAGGCTGGTAACTAAGGTCTGACCCTAATTGCTGTTGAACAGAGTGGCCACAGAAGGACTGAAGCCTCTCGGCAATCTAATTGGGATAAACTCTTGTCCTGGCAATTCATCTTGTAGAATCCAATTCAATCACACTTGATGGAGAACATTCACACACACACACACACACACACACACACACACACACACACACACACACACACAGATGTTCCCAAGGGGCTGAGAGAGCTAATTTACCCAAGTTAGAGGGAAAAATCCATGTATTCTGAGCTGAGTTGGAGGAAAAGATTAGAGCGAGATGATGGGTAAAAATGAACACGTATATTTCAAACCTGATTTTATAAAGCGACTTTGTGTGCACAGTAAATGCCACGAGGTGAACAGGGGGGTGTGCCGTGGGCTGGAAGTTCTTGCTTTTTTCCCACAAATGTCATTTTTCTAGCTAGTAAACATTAATTCAGTGCACAACTCCTCCTGTTTCTGCCTACACCAAGGTACAAATTTCAATTTCTGTAAGTCCTTTCTAAGCTCAGGTTAGCAGAGGGTCATCGGCGCTTCCTGTATAGATGGCATTGTCCGCGCTATCTCCTTTCAACACAGATATGAATCACCTTTGAGCCATCTCCTTTGTCCTTGTTAAATATTTCATGCCGGAGGCAGAGCAGTCATTATTTCCACTTTAATAAGCTGTGATCATTCTCACGTGGTTCAAAATGTGTTGATGGCAGAGGTTGCCCAGGCGATGAATATCAAACCTGCAGACCCTGGGTTTGGCTTTAATGGGGCCTTGAGGGAGAGGCTCATTGTCTGGCCTCTGCATCACGGAGCAAGATGGAGACACTTCACGAGAAGAAAATCACGTGTCTGTCAGACGGGAAGGAAACCCGCTCAGATATGGTGAAACTCAGGTGCGAATCCTCACGGCCACCACCATACTGAAGGGGGGAATATGGAGTGAAACAGCTGATGAGAAGGTGCGAGGTGAAATAATGCAAGGCTTTTTTTAAAGCGTCATTCAAACAGAAGCAGTGTTTGACGAACAAATTTCAACATAACTGGAAGGTTTGTGTGAGCGTTTTCAATCATGTCGAATCAGTTTGGAAGCATCAGCCTTACTGTTGCCATGGTTTCCGGAGTCACCTTTTCTCTTTGTCATTTTGCTGCTAGGAAACGTGTCGGAGTTAAGCAAAGCATCCCTGTAATTGTATCTTTAAAACTCCTTATGAAGTTCAGCAAATAAGCATCACGATTAAAGTGTAAAACATGTTTAGCACTCTGTTTGGGATTTTGTACTGTGATAGTTTGTTCTGAGACTTTAAATAAGATTACAGGAAACAGTCTGATCGTGTGAAACGGCATCTCCTGCTACAATAGAAAAAAATCTGACTAACACTTAGCTGTTAAGCGACAGAAACCTAACAGCAGGAGATCCGGTGTGAGACCGATTCTCACCACTAGAATCTCTCTAGAGTGCCACTTTGGGCAGTGCACAGTGGAGCAAACCTAAAAATACGCTGCAGAAATGATTTTATTTACATCACATCCAGAACAGCAGTTGGTGCTCCCTGCGGATCGATAGCGATGACTGTTTCTGATGCTGACAGCCATACGGTGGGTACAGATTGACATACGCATTATTGACAAGTGAAGTAGTAACCATGAGGTCAGCATGTAAACCTGCTGTTAGTCACATTATTCAGTCAAATGTGTATTTGAAGTGCAGCTCTAAGGTTAACGGAGGGTTGATCTTGTTTCAGGAGCTGATCACAGTGTTTTCAACGCTTTGGGGAAAACTGATAATCACCTGCTGCTCACATCTTTTTTATCCTGCAGAGAGCAACAGGGGGTTGGATAGCTGGACAGGTAACCCGTCCTTAGAGAGACAGATGTGCCTCAACTCCACCCCAGCCCTCTTCAATAAAAAAAAGTGAAAAAAATAAATCTAAATCGTTTTTTTTTATTAGATGTCGGTTAGCAGTAATTAAAAATAAATATCCAACTATGTTAACATTCAGTCACAGTCCATGGTTAAGCAGGGCCAAGAAACAGGAGAGAAAAGCAGATTGTGAAGCCACCAGGTGTTTTTATTAACAAAACTGAAACCAGGGGCACTTCAGAGGGAGAAGGATCCAGAAGTGAAGCTGGACACAAAACTAGACCAAAGAGACAGCAGGAGGGACACAGAAACCTGAGATAAACCGAGGAGCAGTCTGAGAAAAGTCAAAGCAGAAAGCAAAACAAACTGAAATGGAAAAAACAGGGACTCTATACAAAAAGGTACAAGAAATTTTACCCATACATAAAATGTTATAATACAAAACAGCATAACATTTAAACTTCATACTTTACAACTTTTTCATATTCTTTAATTATTTTCATAACTCTTTACAGGGTTAATGGAAGGCCACCCAGCCCCTATTCCACTTGTAACCTCAGACTGGCGGCTGCTCTGTTGGGACATACCTGGCACTGTAGTTCCAGTTTCCTTTGAATTGCAAAACATATTATTATTCTTATTATTGCAAGGATAAATGGTCACTTTTATGAAAAAAACGTCTATTTCTTGTTCTCACATGAGGTTGTTATAATTTTAAGTGTTTATGATGATGACAGAAGTAGCAAACCTGCTGACCTGAAATCAAATTGTGGAAAATAAAATATTTGGTGTCCTTAGAAACCAAAAACGAATTACATGTTGTTTTTGTTTCGGCGCGGGAGGGGGGGGGGGGGGGGGGTTACATTTCCTCAACAATTACAACAACAGAGCATAAACCCATTCTGCTTGATTTACTTGCTTTTAGCTCACAAAGCCATGAGTGGTATTTGAGAAATTTTAACAAAACAATGAATTCAATTAATGTTCTAACTTTTCACAACAGTGATGCAAACTCAAAATTTTATATTTATGGAAACTAAAAGTAACGTTGATCTGAATGCTGGTGGCAATTAAAGAAAAACTTACAATTTTAGAAGATTTCTTCCCAGGTGTGATTAGCCTTTGGATACCTGATATGTGATTTTACCTTGTTTATTTTATACTCAGGTACAATTTCATCAAAGACATAGACCTGCTAAAGCAGAGAGACATGGTACCAGGGGTAGACTGGGACGATAATTCAGCCCTGGAACATCTCCACCTAACCGGCCGTCCGATCAGTGGTGGGGGTTGAGGGGTGCCGACACCAGACCGAAGCACCATCCTCGACCCCAGAAGTCTCTGGCCAGAACTCACAGATGGCCAGTCTGCCCCTGCACGGTTCACAGAGTTTATAAATCCTTCATTCCCGATCTGAGCTGCTGAAACCTGAGGAGTGTTGCAGGGAGCTGGTGCCTGTCCTCGGCAGCAGACACCCTGGACAGGTCACCAGCAGGGACACATGCACAGACAAAAGTACACACACTCTTTGGGAGAATGAAGTAACCAACTGAGGCCTGATTAACACATGAAGATAAATTTGCCCATTTTTGACCCGATTCTCCCCTTCCAACAGTCGTATGACCATGAGTACCCCAACGGCTCTAAAAATAATTTCATCAGATATTCCTGCTGTGTGTGTTTGTATATGAGAAACAAAAGTGGTGTAAAACTTGTTGTCTTAAACACCACCTCATGTTTTAATCTGTTTATCAAATTCCTCTTCATTCCCGTTCAGCTGATGCTAAATTCCTGTTTACTGTCTTCTCGTTATCGTTGTGGTCCTCAAGTGCCGTCGGAGGAATCTGCCTCCCTGTAAATGAATCCTCTTTCATTACCAGTTCACGTCCGTGAAAATGAAGTCTGTCTGGTGATTCAATCAAAACAAGTTAAATTATTCCTATTGATTAAAACTATTTTTATTTCACAAGATAAAAAACAAGCCACAATAACAGCTTTTTTCTCTCTCTCTAACGTGAAGCTCACAGCATCCTAAATATACATTTTTATATTACATTATCATTTTACATTCCGTATATTTGGTGCTATTTTTAATTCATGAACCACTTTCAGTGAGATTATCTCCAGACCAGCAGTCATGCACAGAGTAATTGTGAACCTGTGGATGTTGTAAACTAGTTTTTCCTGGGGAACCTTGAATAGCTCGCAGGTGCTGTTGCTCTGTATGGCAAAACTGCCTGGGAAATTCATGAATGTCAAACCCGAGGGAAGTGCTCCATTATTCAAGCTGAAATTGCATTACTCACCTTGATGCCTTCCCGTTTTTGGTCCCAAGGTAGCTGCAGAGTTGTCGCTCCTGATGGCCTCTTAAAGGCCTCACTGTCAGGACCGGCCGCTTTAATGAACACCGCTGTGCCGGCTGCTTTTCCACTGGTCACAGGTGTACAGCTTCTCAAGGCCGAGCATGCCTTTGTTTATTTATTGCTCTTGGGCTGTGTACACACAACAGTCCCCTCAGTGTCCACATGTCAACAATGGAGGAAGACACCAAATTTGACCGTGACATGAGTCGATCTCTCCATCACCTTGTGAATTTTCTTTTCTTTTCTACAGAAAAGATAATCCAAACTTCTTATAGTCAGGACCATTGGGACTCAGTTTGCTTTGAAGGAATTCTTCTTATTCTTATTCTGATGAAGCAGCGGGCCTTATCTAGACAGCTGGA